GGCTTCCCAAGTAGCTGGGTCTACAGGCACCTGCCAAAATGCCCCGGCTATTTTTTGTTGCAGTTGTCATTATTGTTTAGCTGGCCTGGACCAGGTTAGAACCCACCACACTTGATGTATGTGGCTGGCACCGTAACCACTGTGCTATAGGTGCCAAGTCTCCAACCCATTTCTTAACCTGGGCACCTCGATTTCCCCTAGAACCACCACTTAAGCCATAGGAGGCAAACTAACACTCCCCTAAGGCCCTGTGAAGAGAGATCCAACTCCATCCTCGAAGTTTTCTCAGTCACACCACATCCACACACTCTCATACACTTCTCAAAAGACCTGCCAGCAATCTAGTGTCCCAGGGGTTGATCAGTCCCCCGCTTCCACCCAAATGGTGGGAACACCAGATCCATCATACTTTGCCTTAGACCTCTCCCTGTGTAGGTATCTGTTCCTGCATGCCAGTTCCTTCCAGTGTTGACTCCTTGAAGACCAGCCAAAGGGGTCCTTTCTCTGCCCAGTTCAGGCATCCACACAGGGAGGCCAAATTTCCTCCCTGGTACACTCAGTAGATCATGTTGCCCCAGGCCAATCATGGGCCCCCATATGAGTGTCCAGAAGATTGGTGGCAACTACCAGGTGCATGTTCTCTCCATGATCTTGCTTCCCAGTCAGGGAACCAAAAATGTTGCAGGAAGATGAGGATCAACGGAGAGAAAGAGCACCCAAACACCATGTTTATAAGAGGAAGGGCTTTATTCACTGGCCAGGAGCTTATGGCATAGAATTCCAAATGGCCGTGCCCCTTAACAAAATATTAACATATTTAATTGCTTTAAGAAGTTACAGGCTCGGTGCCTGTGGCTCAAGTGGCTAAGGCGCCAGCCACATACACCTAAGGTGGCGGGTTCGAATCCCCAGCCTGGGCCCGCCAAACAACAATGATGGCTGCAACCAAAAAAACGGCCGGGCGTTGTGGCGGGTGCCTGTAGTCCCAGCTACTTGGGAGGCTGAGGCAGGAGACTCACTTGAGCCCAGGAGTTGGAGGTTGCTGTGAGCTGTGATGCCATGGCACTCTACCCAGGGGGATAGCTTGAGGCTCTGTCTCCAAAAAAAAAAAAAAAAAAAGAAGTTACATACATCTTTTGTTTTTTTTTTTAGAGACAGAGTTTCACTTTGTGGCCCTGGGTAGAGTGCTGCAGTGTCATAGCTCACAGCAAGCTCCAACTCCTGGGCTTAAGACGATTCTCTTGCCTCAGCCTACTGAGTAGCTGGGACTACAGGCATCTGCCACAACTCCCAGCTATTTTTTATTGCAGTTTGGCTGGGGCCAGGTTTGAACCCGCCACCCTCAGTATATGGGACCAATGCCCTACCCACTGACCCACAGGCACCGCCCAGAACTTACATATATCTTGATATCTTGATCAAATAATTATTCCAGGACTGCAAGCTGGATCTAACATTTCAAAATATATCAAGGAGATACACTACATTGAACAGCGTATTGTATTCAAGATTTCTTTTCAGACAAAGTCTCAAGCTGTTGTGTTGGGTAGAGTGCTGTGGTATCACAGCTCAAAAGCAACCTCCAACTCAGACTCAGGAGATCCTTTTGCCTCAGTTTTTCTATTTTTAGTAGAGATGGGTCTCACTTTTGCTCAGGCTGGTCTCAAACTCCTGAACTCAGGCAATCCACCTGCCTTGGCCTCCAGAGTACTGGGATTACAGGCATGAGCCACTGCGCGCAGTCTATACTCAAGATCTTTGATAAATGAGATTATAGCTGCTCTTGCCACATAGGGAAAAATGTTTAACTGTGTGAGATGACTGATATGTTAAGTTGTTCTACCACAGTAGCCATTTTACTATCTATGTATCTTAACCTTCAGCATACACAATAAAATTAAACAACTAGAATTCTATTTCTAGCAAAAACATCCTATAGAAATGAAAGTGAAATAAAGATACTTTCGGATTACCATAAGCTAGAATAAACCAACACAAAGCCCTAAAACACAAGAAATGCCAAAGAGAATTCTTTGGGTTAAAGATAAATGACAACACACACAAATTCAGATTTTCAGAAGGGCATGAAGACACCAGAAAGCAAAAACCTAGGTAAAAGACGTTTTAAAAAAAATATACACAGGATGGTAACCATGTAGGTGATGTAACACACAGGACTTCTCAGCAGGAGATGGGGGAGGCCTGATGGGCTCGAGGCTTTACTTGGACTGGTACAACCTTAGCTCTAAGAGGAGTAATGATCCTAGCTGCCATCAGCTGAACTGATCACTATTCATCAATAAAAACAGTGACATACATAAGAAATAGTACAGAAGGATCTCAAACATTACGTTAATTCAAACAAACTGGATATGAAATGACTCCATTTATACAAGAACTTTTTTTTTTTTTTGAGACAGAGTCTTACTCTGTAGCCCTGGGTAGAGTGCCCTGGCATCTTAGCTCACAGCAACCTCCAACTCCTGGGCTCAAGTGATCCTCCTGCCTCAGCCTTCCGAGTAGAAGGGACAGGTGCCTGACACAATGCTTGGCTAGTTTTTCCATTTTTAGTAGAGATGGGGTCTTGCTCTTGCTCAGGCTGGTTTAGAGCTCCTGAGCTCAAGCAATCCACCCTCCTTGGCCTCCCAGAGTGTTGGGATTTTAGGCATGAGCCACTGTGCCAATGGCCTATACAAAGATAAATAGAAAAAATAATCAACCATGATAAAAATCAATGAAGTGACTGCTTAAAGGTGGTGAAGGAAAGTATTTTTTCCTTTTGTTTATTTTTTTTTTGCAATTTTCAGCCAGGGCCGGGTTTGAATCCACTACCTCCAGCATATGGGGCTGATGCCCTACTCCTTTGAGCCACAGGCGCTGCCCATTTTTCCTTTGGCTGTTGAGACAGAGTTTTACTCTGTCACCCAGGACAGAGTTCCACACCTCAGCCTAGTTCACAGCAACCTCAAACTCCTAGGATCAAGTGATCCTCCCAGAGTGCTAGGATCACAGGCATAAGCCACTGCACCTGCCCTGAAGTCAGTACTTTTACCATCATAGGTTACAATTTTTATTTTATGTACTTTGTCACCTCTCTGAATTCAATATCATTGAGACTGTATGAGTTCATCCAGATTCTTGTGAAGACTGGTTCCCAATGTGGCATTTTGTCTGTTTAAAATATTTTATTATGTAATTTGTGAAATACAGAAAGAAATACAAGGTAATATGTAAGTTATGGTGCACAATTATAAAGACCATGATGACATCCCCATTTATTTATTTATTTTGAGACAGATTCTTACTCTGTCACCCTGGGTAGAGTGCCATGGTGTCATAGCTCACAGCAACCTCAAACTCTTGGGCTTAAGCAATTCTCTTGCCTCAGCCTCCTTAGTAGTTGGGGCTACAGGCACCCACCACAATGCCGAGCTATTTTTAGAGACCAGGTCTTGCTCTTGCTCAGGCTGGTCTCGAATTTGTAAGCTCAGGCAATCTACCTACCTCAGCCTCCCAGAGTGCTAGGATTAAAGGCATGAGCCACTGAACCTGGCCCATCATCTCTCATTTAGAAACTAGAAAATTACCAATCACCTGGACACCTGTGCTCTCCTGCATAAGCCACCTTGAATTTGATGTTTATGACTATTTCTTTTTTTTTTTTTTTTTTTGAGACAGAGTATCACTATGTTGCCCTGGGTAGGGTGCCGTGGCATCACACCTCACAGCATCCTCCACCAACTCCTGGACTTAAGCAATTCTCTTGCCTCAGCCTCTTGAGTAGCTGGGACTATAGGCACCTGCCCACAGTGCCTAGCTATTTTTTGGTTGTAGTTATCACTGTTTGGCAGGCCCGAGCCGGATTTGAACCTGCCAGCTCTGGTGTATGTGGCTGACACCTTAGCTGCCTAAGCTACAGGTGCCACCCTATTTTGCTTTTATTTATTTTCTTTTTTTTGTAGAGACAGTCTTACCCTATCGCCCTTGGTAGAGTGCCGTGGCGTCACACAGCTCACAGCAACCTCCAACTCCTGGGCCTAGGTGATTCTCCTGCCTCTGCCTCCCAAGTAGCTGGGACTACAGGTGCCTGCCCGGCTATTTTTCTGTTGCAGTTTGGCCGGGGCTGGGCCTGAACTACCACCCTTGGTATACGGGGCCGGCACCCTACCCACTGAGCCACAGGTGCCATCCAACTCTCTTGCTTTTAAAAAACACCGGCTCTTAGGCGGCGCCTATGGCTCAAAGGAGTAGGGCACTGGTCCCATATACCAGAGGTGGCGGGTTCAAACCCAGGCCCAGCCAAAAACCGCCCCCCCCCAAAAAAAAACCCCTCTTGGGCGGTGCCTGTGGCTCGGTGGGTGGAGTGCCAGGCCCATTACAGAGGGTGGAAGGTTTGAACCCAGCCCGGCCAAACTGCAACAAAAAAATAGCCAGGCGTTGCGGCTGGTGCCTGTAGTCCCAGCTACTTGGGAGGCTGCAGCAAGAGAATCACCTAAGCCCAGGAGTTGGAGGTTGCTGTAACGCCACAGCACTCTACTGAGGGTGATTAAAAAAAACAAAACCAAAAAATCCCCTCATGTTTATCACTAAATGTTAGTCTAATGTTTTAAGAGATGTGGGCCTTGGCTTAGTGCTTATAGCTCAGCGGTTAGGGTGCCAGCCACATACACTGGGGCTGGCAGGTTCGAACCCAGCCCGGAACTGCTAAACAACAACAATTACAACAAAAAAATAGCCGGGCATTGTGGCGGGTGCCTATAGTCCCAGCTACTTAAGAGGCTGAGGCAAGAAAATCACTTAAGCCCAAGAGTTTGAGGTTGCTGTGAGCTGTAACGCTAACAGCACTCTACCAAGGACGACACAGTCTCTGTCTCAAACAAAAAAGGGGGTGCCCTCACTACATTGAGGCGGTGAGTCCTGAATCTGGTCCGAGTGATCCTCCCATCTCAGCCTCCCCCCAAGCCACAGGAGCTGAGCCTGCAGCTGTTTCTGAAACTCACCCGTGTTGTGGGTACTGCAGTAGCTCATCCATTCCCACTTGGGCTCATGTTCCACTTTGCGTGGACCACAGCTTATCAGTCCACTCTTCTGCTGAAGGGCACTGGGGTTGTCCCCAGTTCTCACTGCAAGGCTGTCCTGAGGGTGTGCTGGTGTATGTGCCACAGCAAGCAGCCACCATGCAGCAAATGAGCCCATTAGAAGGTACAAACATCTTCATTCACATGGGAAACACAAATTAAAACACAAAAAGCTACTACTGCATACCTGTTAGAACTGCTTTAACAGACCTGACAGCAGCCGGGCCTATACAAAGTGCTGGTGGGAACGCAAAATGCTTCAGCTGCTCTGGAAAAGTCTGGAAGTTAAAAAAAGACTTATACAACCCAGCAATCCCGCTTCTATGTATGTATACAAGAGAAATGAAAACGAATGTTCATACTTACCTGGCAGGGGAGATACCATGATCATGAAAATGAATGTTCACACCAAAACCTAATCATCAAAATCCAGAAACAACACAAATGTCCTCCAACTGGGGAACAGACAACAAGCCATTTAGCCCTCCTGCCCTTGCTGACCCTTAAGATACTATACTGACAGCAGCAGTTTCAAAAGGTGAGACACATGATTCCATCTGTAGGGCGTTCTTATCCGTGCAAGGAACAACAACTGAGAACAGACAGCAGGGCGGCAGTAGCAGCTGACAGCCCTGCTCTTCACCTAGTCACACAAATTTGCACACAATAAAACTCAGAGAACTGCATGTCAAAAAAAAAAAGTCAATTTTACTTTCTCTTTCTTTTTTTCGTCTACTTTTGTGTAAGTACAGACTTATGTTCATCTAAAAAACATAAAAGGTCAGGCTATGGTGGCTCATGCCTGTAATCCCAGCACTCCGAGAAGCCAAAGCAGGAGGACTATTTGAACCCACGAGCTCCAGCCAGCCTGGGCAATACATCTCTATCACAAAAAAAAAAAAAAAAAAAAATTACCCAGGTGTGGTGGCACCTGAGGTTCCAGCTACTCAGGAGGGAGAAGTTGGAGGCCCACTGGAGCCCAGGAGTTTGAGGCTATAGTAAGTTGTGATGAGGCCATGGCACTCCATCTTAGGAGACAGGGTAAGACTGTGTCTCAAAAATAAATAGGGCAGCACCTGTGGCTCAAAGGAGTAGGGGGCCGGCCCCATATGCCAGAGGTGGCAGGTTCAAACCCAGCCCCAGCCCAAAACTGCAAAAATAAAAAAATAAAAATAAATAAATACAAATAATAAAAAGTAAAAGAAGAAAAAAATCTGGACTTGGATGCTTTGTGATTAATTTTTTCAGTCATTTTTGTTAAACTTTACAAAAAGTATCATCAGTCTGTGACAGATTGGAAATTAACAAAACAAAATCTGGCTGGGGTGCAGTGGCTCATGCCTATAATCCCAGCAACTGAGCAGGAGGATCACTTGAGCTCATGAGTTTGAGACCAACCTAAGCAAACGTTAGACTCCGTCTTTATGTTAATTTTTTTGAGACAAAGTCTCAAACTGTCACCCTTGGGTAGAGTACTACGGTATCATAGTTCACAGCAACCTCCAACTCTTGGGCTCAAGCAATCCTCAGTTTTTTCTATTTTTAGTAGAGACAGGGTCTCACTTTTGCTCAGGCTAGTCTCAAACTCATGAGCTCAAGCAATCCACCAGCTTTGGCCTCCCAGAGTGCTAGGATTACAGGTGTGAGCCACCATGCATGGCCTGACCTCATCTTTACCAAAAACAGAAAAAATGAGCCAGCTGTGGTGCATTATATGCCTGTAGTTCCTGCTCCTTGGGAGGCTGAGGCAGGAGCACTGGAGACCAGGAGTTTTGAGGTTGCTGTAAGCTATGACACCACAGCACTCTAGCCTGGGCAACAAAGTGAGACCCTGTCTCAAAAACAAACAAACAAACCTGGCACTTTATCACAAACATGGTAGAGTTGTTTTCTGTATGTGCCTATAAATGGGATCCAGGAGCCCTAGAGAACAAGCAGGCTTGACTTGAAAAGGGTTGCCAACTCCTGGCCAGAAGACCACTCCAACACTCTCAACATAAGTTTAGAGCTCCCTGACATTTTCTTTTTCTTTGAGGCAGTCTCTGCCCACTCCGTTGCCATGGCTGGCATCATAGCTTACCACAACCTCAAACTCCTGGGCTCAAGCGATCCTCCTGCCTCAGCCTCCTGAGTAGCTGGGACTACAGGTGCATACCCCACCACACCTGGCTCATTTTTTCTGTTTTTAGTGAAGATGGGATCCTGTGAGCCTTCCTAGTTTTTGCCCAGCCTGAGTCCTTGTTCCCATGCACTGATGAAGGTGATGTCCTGGCCATGTTTCAAGGCCAATCTGTCTGTAGTGTCCACACCACTTCTCTAGGCCTGTCCCCAACAGGGACACCAAGCCTTTTACTGGCTATAAATATTAGAAATATCTTCTAGTTCACAGTTAATTTTATTTATTACAGAGTCTTTCGATGAACTCAAGCTTTTTTTCCCAATTGTGGCCAAAACCATGTAACATCAAATTCACTGTTCTAAGCAATATTAGGTACACAGCACAGCATAACTAACTACACACACATTGTCAGTAGCCTCTTACCTCACTTTTATGTCACTGAATATATCATATCTTTCTGAGTTTACCAACATATTAACCCCCTCCCCCCTTTAAGACAGAGTCTTGCTCTGTTGCCCAGGCTAGAGTGCTGTGGTGTCAGCTTAGCTTAAAGCAAGCTCAGACTCCTGGGGTCAAGAGATCTTCCTGCCTCAGCCTCCAGAGGAGCTGGGACTACAGGTGCCTGACATGATGCCTGGGTAGTTTTTCTATTTTTAGTAGAGATGGGGTCTCACACTCTTGCTCAGGCTGGTTTGGAACTCCTGGCTTTAAGTGATCCTCCTGCCTCAGCCTTCCTCCCTTTTTCTGTTCAAGAAATCCTTCTTGGCTCGGCGCCTATAGCTCAACC